TGTGGGCCAGAGGATGGTTTCCAGTGATCGTTCCCTTTGTGCTGTATGACAGTTCCACCTGTACATGAGACTTAAGCATTCTCTACCTTCCTTCCTTTCTCACCTGGCTCAGTGCCTTGTCCAGAGAGCTGAATTTGAGCCCCATTATTTGTGTGGCCTCAGGGTGAGTACTCTGAGAGAGAGAGCAGGAAGTCCATGCAGCAGTTACTTAAACTCATTGTAATCCCTTCATTTTCTTCCCATCTCATTTCTTTCTCCTGGCCCTCATGACTGAGATCTTAGAGCAGTTATTAGCATCAGGTTGCCGTGTGTGTGTGTGTGTGTGTGTGTGTGTGTGTGTGTGTGTGTACACACCTGTGGATGTATGGAGATAACATGAGGATGCTGGGTGTACAGCATTCTCTGCCTTATCCCCTTGAGGTCTCTTGCTGAATCTGAAGCTAGGCTGGTGGCCAGCAAGCCCAGCAATCCTCCTGCCTCTACTGCTATAACTCTCAGGTTATAGGTATATGTGCGGCCACATCTGGAGAAGGACGAGAAGTCATGCTGTTTGAGTTAAGCTGGCATGGAGGTCAGTCATCTACATGGTAGACAAACAGCCACATGGCTGGAAGGCAAGCTCTAGAGAAAGAGTGAAGAAGCCCAAAGTCCCAGAGGAAGCATGCTTAGAACAGAGGTAGGAAGAAGAAAAGGAAATATTTTGCCTTTCTGGGTAAATCAGAAAAGTGAGATGACTTCATAAGCCAAAGGGCTCCAGCCCTGTCAGCTGCTGTGATAGGCAGGGGCTGGAGTTCTGGAAGGAACAGAAAGTACATTATCTCTGTAAAGGAATAGTTACTCTGTCTATCTCTAGTGTGACTGCCTTCCTAGGGCTGGTTTTGTAGGAATGCCATTGACCTGCCACCTGGGAGGTTTCCAGGCCAGAGATTTCATCCTCTTGACCAGGAAAAATAAAATAGTTTCCCCTTAATAGGCCTTTATTATTGTTGTTGACACAACTCATAAATCTTTAAAAGAAGTCACTCTGTGTCCTCACTGAGCTGGATGAAACATCATGTTCCAGCCTCATCATGTTGTGAGGTGATTTTTAACCCAGTTGTAACTCAGATGACTCTATGCCCTGGAGCGGAAATACGTATGAGAGAACATCCAATACCTCGATCTCCTTTGCTGGTGGATCATAGAAGGCAACAGTAGGTACCTCTCCGCTGAACACTCTGTAGATGTGTTTGTGATGTTTTCATGTGGAAGACTGCCCATTAGTAGATGGACTGTCTCTGAGTCTGTCTGCTTGGCATTAGAGGCAGGCTGCAGTGAGGCAGCAGGCAGCAAGTGCGCAGAATGGGAAATCCTTGACCTTGAATGGGGCCTCAGTTCCATCCTTCATCAACAGCACAACTGTGGACAAAGTACTTAAGTATCCTGCGCCGCAGTTTTCTCATTGGTCCAGAGATGTGTCTCTTTTGTAGAAGATCTGATAGGTCAGCCACCCATCAGGCTATCTAAGCAACTCTAAAACACTTTCTGTGCAGCTTGATTATGAGGCTCAAATACCTCTTTCCTAGGAGAAGCAAGATGGGGAAAATCTTATTATTTAGAAATAAGAGGACCCTAGTTCAAGGTCTTGTGATAGATGAACAAGATATTGGACTGTGAGTTGCTAGGCAACTGGCCAAGATTGCTGTGATCATTGAGTATGGAGAAGGCTATGAAAGTAGAACTTGAATAAATAATAGGCAGAGTGGCAAAATGGAAGGCTATTTTCTTAGAAACAATTAAACTACATTTATACAACTCTTGAGTTACTTGTTAAAGTATCTGAAAGATCCAGAAGAACTCCATCTTTGAGGCCTACTTTGTTCTTTTCTCTGGATTTGGACCACCAGACTATAATGCTTCTTTACCTGTCTGGCATTAATGATGTGCTGATACTGGCCTGATCTCTGCACCAGCAGTGGGAGATTGACCTGTGTGCTGAATGTCCAAGACCAAAGCTGCTGAATATACCTGCTGGACTGAGCCATTGCGTCTGGTGAGACTGATGGAGCCCATCTCTTTGGTCCCTGACCCCACTCAGTGGTTACTTTTGTTAAGTTCCAGGGTGGGTGGCTAGGCCCTGTTAGTCCCTGCTTCTGAGGACCTCCTTTTCCCTAGAGGGGGAGGTTTTGATGATGTGCTTGTTAACAACTGTGAAATTTTCAAGGTTGCCTATCATTAGGGCTAAATTGTTTCATAACATAATAATTACTGTATCATCCAGGGGGAGCCTGAGGAGGCCGAACAGAACCAGGAGGTTTATTATTGGTTATCGAGAGGGTGCTCATGAAAACATTCATTAGTGCTGCTCCAGAGAGAGGGAACAGGGTGTTAGCAGAGCAGGCCAGCCCAGGCAGCTTCGCCTTGCCTCCGGGTAGAACAGGATGCTAGAGGCTTAGTAGAGCCTGGCCAGAGTTTTGACCTTGTAGCTTGGGACAGAATTTTGGTTTGGGAATGGGCAGGCTGTGTCCAGTTCTTGCTTTTGTATCTTATACTTTGCATTATTTACTCCCCTTTCTCTTACTATAATTTTGCTCTCAGAGGGAACTCCGTTAAACACCCCATAATACTCACCATCCATTAATCCGTCGCTGACCTTGGCTTACTGAATAACCGGAAATTGTAGCCTCACCCTTATAGTTACCCTGTTCCTTACTGGACTCAGCTGGTTACAGAGGATGGTCATTGCGCCCCACAAATGTGATTCAGAATCTCCACCTTCAGTTTCTCCAGATAATTTCTGTATGTGGAGACATTTCAGATGTCCCATCCTAAGTAGCCATGCGTTGGGTAGGCCTGGGTCTTTTCTAATTATGTATTTCATGTCCCTTGCTCTTCCTAAAGTTTGACATTTGGTAGCTGTAAAAATCTTTGAATTTTCTTCTTATCTTGGACACAGCCTCTAAGGACTCTGTCAGTGTCCAGGGACAAAAGTGGGATAGGTAGCAGGATGGTAAGTGGAAGTGGAGATAGCTTCCTGTTGAAAATGGAAGGGCATATACAATTATAGTGGCGAGGGTGGCTTTGATATGGAGACAATTTTGAAATTTTGCAGTTTGAGGAGACAGTTTTGGTTTTCACACCCAAGGGGGAAGGTATAGGTTCAGGATGCTGTTAAACATTCCATAATATACAGAACAACCCACTGCCACACATGCACACTCCCCCACACGCACACTCCCCCACACCACTACCCCAGAAGGTTTCTAGTCCATTATGTCAGCAAGGCTGCTTAAACACCTTTCAGCATGCAGGGCAATCTTCCCCATCCTCCACCCCGCCATGCACACACATGCTACTGCCATTACTTCCACACCAGAACTAAAAGAATTATCTAGCCCTACAGACCAACACTGCAGTGAGAAGTGTTGCTCTGCAGACCCTTATATTACACCCTGATGTAACCCTGATGGAGGGAGAATTAATGAGGCTCCATCTCCTTCAGTGTGGGACAGTGGAGCAGGGATTATAATAGCCCCACATGTATAGACTACTCCTACAGTATGTCCATGGCATGGTGAGGGCTGGGAAGTCAATAGAATTAGAGATGGAGGATGGAAAATGATTCAAGAGATTAAGGGAAAATGAAAGAGAAGCAAAACTCAGTGGAGAGAACAGAGAGAAGTGGGCTTACCATTGCTGTACCATTTTCCTGATAGATCAATTTACAAAGAGAAAAGGTTTCCTTTGGCTTCAGTTGTGGAGGTTCCTTTTCGTAACTGGTCACTTTGCATAATTGATCTCTTTGCCTAATTGCTGCTGATGCTGTTGCTTTGGGCATCAACATTCCTTGAAGTGGGGGTGCATGCAGAACAGGACTGCTCATTTCATGACTGAAAAGTGACAAAGAGAAAAGGAAGAACCTAGGGTCCTTGCTAAGGGCATTTCATCTATGGAGCCCTACTAGGCTCCACATCTTAAAGGTTCTACTACTTCCCAATAACAACATGAGCGAGGACCAAAACTTTTATATATATACTTTTGGGGGCCCATTCTAGATCCAAACTAACAGCACTGTCTATTGTGCCCCTTGCGCTAGCCACCCTCTCCTGCTGTGGAAATAGAGGACAGCTCATTTAATGATGTTACTAATGCAGAATGTGGCTGATCATTCCAGTGATGGCTTGGGGAATTACACCATCCTCTGTGCACGCTCATCTGCAGTGGATTTGCCATTTATTTTCTCCCAGGACGTAGAGTTGTGTTGTGCCACCCTGTGAGCCTGGGCTGGCTCTGTCATTTACCTTGACTGGAAAGTTCATGGAGACCAGGATGTTGTGGGACAGTGATGTCTGATTCTGAAGGTCATTCATCTTTCATGTCTCCTCGATGGACGATTTCTACCATTCTGTCAGGGAGCTCCACCTAGCTCCCTTGAGCAAGGGCCCAGGTGTCTAGCTGCCCTAGCCCAGCCTTTAGCCAAGCAAGAAGGTCACTGTGACTGTATCTGGGCACCTTGAGGAAGTCAGTTCCTCACTCAGTCACAGAGTGACAAGGAGTAATAAATTATGGTTAGTTTAAACCACTAAACACTGGTTTTGTGTGTGTGTTTGTATGTGTGCACACAGGGCAGAGGTCAACCCTGGAGTCTTCCTCAAGGGCTGTTTATCTTGTCTTTGGGGCAAGGTCTCTTACTGGGAACTGAGGTTCCTCAATTAGGTCTGACTGGCCAGCAAGCCACAGGAGTCCCGCCTGTCTCTGACTCCCCAGCACTGGCAATACAGATCTGTGACCATAGCTGTCTTTTCATGTGTGCACTGGGCATCAAGCTCAGGTCTTCATGCTTGCACAGCCAGCAGTTTACAACTGAACCTTCTCTCCAGCTCCTACTGTGGTGGTTTGATGGACAGAGAAGACAAATGGATGTTGCAATTGACTGCATGCCTGTTTGCTGTGGAGTGTGTGTGTTGGGTGTCAGACCAAGAGTGAGAAAACCTGAGCTCTTCCCCCTCTGCTTCCTGCAGCACTTCTCCGAACTTCTGGATGAGTTTTCCCAGAACGTCTTGGGTCAGCTCCTGAATGACCCTTTCCTCTCAGAGAAGAGTGTGTCCATGGAGGTGGAGCCATCTCCAACATCACCAGCGCCTCTCATCCAGGCTGAACACAGCTACTCCCTGAGCGAGGAGCCCCGGGCTCAGTCACCATTTACCCACGTGGCTACCAGCGAAGGCTTCAATGATGGTAAAAACTGATTGCAACGAAACACTGGGGTTCTTGAATCTTTGACTCTAGCTCCTTGAGAAGACAGGGAGTGTGGGCTCTGTTGTTCACACCCACATTAGCCATACTCCCACTGCCTGGTAGGCCTGGTGCTAAGGATGTGGTAAATGACAAGCGGGACAGCATGAACTTCTCTGCACTAGGCTAGGTCTCTGGGAACTTGCTGTCACTGAATCTTAGTTCTCTCTCTGACCCTGGGCAGCTGAGCAGCCATTTGCCAAGCTGGCCTCTTTGGCTGACGATACCCAGCAGTATGGGAAGCCAGTTGTTTTAAATGATCACACTGCTTCCCTAACAAAGAATTTCTATGATCGTTCTTACCTGGAGGGACTTCTGGAGGACATCCTCTTAACCATTTTTCAGCATGTCCCACTGACCCAACATTCCTGGTGAATGTTATTGGACTCTTCTTGTTGGTACCCCTTCCGCACCTATTCCCATCAGCAGTGCTGCTGCTTGTTATTGTTGAAGGACTGACTTTTCTAACTCAGAGATGCTGCGGCATTTTGACCATTACTCTGTAAGCCTTTATTTGCTGTATTTTCTATCTTCCCAGTTCTTCATGTGTGTGTGCAGTCATACACGTACACATGTATACACACATGCACACAGTTGAACTATGTTTTATTTGCTTAGAGGGATAAGTACTTTGAATAAGCTTTAAAAACCTTGTTTCCTATTCTCACTCCACCATATGAATTTTTTACCCCCTCAGGAAAATGACACAGTAGCCCAACACTGACCTCCTTGGGTTTTTCTTGGAGACCACTTCTGCCATCTCTTACATACCATCTGTGCATGACAGTGTCTTTTATAAGTTACTCCCTATATAATGTATTTCCTTATGCTTCCCGTGGTTAAAAGCCAATGCCTGTGTCCACATGCGTAGGACGGGGCAGCTCCTCCAGGCAATTCATTATTAGCCTCTAAAATAATTAACTTGGATACCAGTAAAACACCTTCTCTCAGGGCTCAGAATGTTGTGGGTGTGAAAAGTTCATATTCTTCTCTAGAATACATTCTTTTTTGGAAGAGTCACATTACTTAACATGGGGAAAGCATGTTCTTACATGCTCAGTGAAGGGAGTACTGTGAATCTGGTAGTGGCTTTGTTCTTGCCTGCTGGAGCAGATACTCTGAGTATCAAGCAGATTCCCTGATTTTCCAGTGTCTGTGGAGAATTTAGGAACGTGAGGCCTTAGCTCTTCCCTGTAGTCAGTCAGTTATCCTTGCCTTAGATCAGTAGGATGAGGTGTTTTGCCTCCTGGGAAAGAAAGGAAAAGAGAACTGAGTTAATTTGAGGACATAATGGTATTTCGGGGATAAAGTGAGGTGTTTAAAAATCTCAGAGCAATGTCTACCACATAGCATCTCAGCAAATCATGTTCTCCTACTCCCATTACCTGCCCCCTCCTTCATTTTATCCAGTTCATTTCAGAAACACCCTTGGATCAGATGCAGAATATGGCCTCTGTTGTGTAGCACTGTTTTCTCTCCTAAGCTGCGATACAAACTGTATTATTATAACAACATACTACAGCAGAAGTTATTTGAGACTTATGAGTTGCTTATTTCTCCAATTTTCCATGTAATATGGTCAGGCTGTGATTGACCGTGGGTAACTGAAACCATGGAAGGTGAACCACAGATAAGGGGAGCTGCTGTGTCCCTATGACTCACCATATACAAGCCAGCTCAAGGAAGTCAGTCGTTTAGGCTTCAGGTTAAATTCATGCAAGCCCTGAGTTGGCTTTATGACTTTACGAATGGATTTTAGCCTCTGAAGAGCGGTTGGACAAAGACTGTTAAGATTTCTTTTGACTGAGATTCTTTGCAGGGAAGTTCTCACCTCCACATAAGGTTCCCTTGTGTGCTCATCATTGCTTTGCCTGTATTTGTTTCTCAATTCCTTTGACGCCTCTATCTCTACCCCTTCTTCATTTATGGAGTTACCTTCAATGTCTTTTGTGTCAGCCATTTGTGCTGTATAACAAATAGTCCCTCCCCCAAATTAATGACTTAGAATGGCCACTTATTCCCTTATGAGTTCTGTGCTTAAGTCCTCTGAAATGGTTTACTTGTGTAGTTTTGGTTTTTAATTACCATGAGGTTGGGCTCAGATGCTAGCTGAGACATTCCCAGGGTTAGAAGCTCTGCCCTAAGAACAGTAATCTCCAGTAGCTGACAAGTCACTGCTGGTGAATTGGTAGCCTATTATATGGTCTCTCCATGGGGCTGCTGGCTTCTCCCACAAGTGAGAGGCCTCCTGTCAGTCACCTTTACTGACATACCTGGTATTCCTGTTCTCCACACTATTTCTGTTCATTCATCCAGTGACTCTCAAGTTTATGTTCAAGACATTGAAGAAGTATAAAGAAAAAAAAAAGTTCCTTGCTGTTCCAGAACTTATCAGGAGGGAGGATTAGAAGTGTACACAACTGACGTTAAAATCATGGTCCATGTGCCAGTCTTAGTGGCAGTTCTGTGTTCTGCATTCATACCTGTTCCAAATTCTACACTGCCACTGCCTGGCTCTGGGAGCATCATTTAACCTTTCTAGCCCAGCTTCTCTCTATGTAAAACTAGGCCGAGGATGACTTTTGATATTTTCTTTTGAGGATTAAGTGTGAGAACAGATTCCATTGCCTCCCAGGGTCTGGTTCTTCTTAGGCTCTCTCGAAGTCATTATTTATAACTAAGCTTTGCAAGAGGACTGCTCAGTAAGACTTTGCAGAGGATTGTAATAAAAAAAGTTAACCTTAATTTACTTAATGTAGAGGACATTAGTGTGTACACACCATGCAGGTGTGGTGGTCAGAGGTAGACTTGTAGGAGTTGATCTCTCTTTCTACCGTGTCGGTTCCAGGGGTTGAACTCAGTTCATCGGGCTTAGCTGAAACTGTCATTATCCACAGAACCATCTTCCCAGTCCTATGAAAAAGGATCTCTTAATTTACTAGCTTATGTTTAGCAGTGACATTTAGTGGGAACTTAGCTGTTTAGCTTATTGATGGGTTATTTTATTTCTGCTAGTTTGTTTTTTTACACAACAGCTATGTCCAATGACAGAGTATAATTGTTTAGGGAACAGAAACATAACTGTAACCGTAATAGTTTTTATTTGCATGGAGATCATATCTCCCTTCCTAGAAGGGAGAGAGAGCTGAAATATGAATGCTGATAGGTAGGTGACATGAACAGACTAGCAGAAGAGGGAAGAACCAGGGTATGTCTCATGCCTAGAGTCTGCCATTCAGAAGTTGGAGATGACCTCGTGATATTCACTACACTAACTTTGCTCCAGTTCCACATGCTGGTTGCACACCTACTGTGTGCCAGACCCTATCTTAGATACTGAGGAACCAAGCATTAAAATGTAAAACCTGCCTGTGAGGAGCTCAAGATCTGATTAAAACCATACCTAATCCCTATTAGGCAGACTTTGAGTAGTGTTCCAAGAGAAAATTAGGCTGTAGGAGTTTCTAGGAGAGAGAACACACACTTTGATGAGTCAGGAAGAGCTGCCTGAATGAAGCAGGATTTCAGCTGGATGTTGGCTCACTGCCTGGGGTCAGCCCCCTGGAGCTTGCTAGAGGGCCACAGATGGAGAGCAGAGGGCCAGGATACTGGTGCTTTGAAAACAAGATCCTTAGTAAAAAGATTGCTCACAAAACAGATTTCTAAAGGTTCCTCTTCATTCATTAGTTGCCCTCCTTTGTCTATGTCTGGGTGTATTATTGTCTCAACTTCGTCTTCCATTGCTGAAGTTTGTTCCTCGGCATGGCCTTTCCTGGTGCTGATACTTTTTTATGTAGTTTTTGGTTAATTGATTCTTTCACTTACAGAACATATGCTTGGTTCGTTTTCAGTGTATCAATTTCCTAGCTGATTTTTTTCTCTGTATTTGTACTTCCTTTCCCAATTTACTGTTTCACTCACTTTGGAGACTGTCTTTGTCTCTAGAGATTAGCCATCGTTAGTGTATCTGCTTATTGGAGTCATCTACAGAGTCATCAATTGTTGTAAAAACAAAGACTATAAATTCATCATGGACACATCAGCTGTCTTGGTGATTTGGGGTTTCATTAAGGGGGGGTGTTTAGTTTGGAAATGAATTGTGAAGAAGACATCCCTTTGGGGGTGGGAGGACTCCCAGAAAGCAAAAGAACCAAATAGAATTAGAAAAGGGGGGGAGGAGTTAAAACTAGGAGACACATTCAGAGCTACAGAATGTCAAAGCACGACAAGGAAACACAAAGAATACAACTGCCCTCCTTCCATGCTACCACTGGTCTCCTGCTTATGCTATCGTTGATTTACATTCAACCTAAATACACTGTAAGTGAGACCTCAGCTAACGCTCACTGTGGGGAAAAACAATCGCAGCTTTTGTTAACAGGACCTTTCCTATCATAAGACCAAAGAGTGCACCTTTGAGTTTCCCCAACTGACTCTGTTTGTAGCTCTCATGCTGTGACAGGCTATGCCAGTAATTTGCTAAAAAGAGACATGGGGGTTCAGATGGATTTTACAGAGGGCGTACAGTCCACAGTTCATCTTTGTGAAAGTTCTGGTGTTTTCTCTTATGTATCCAAGTAGGAGATGATAAATATGGGATAGGAATTGTTTGAGATGTTTGACAGCAAAGGGGTGGGTGAATGGGGATGAGGGTGGGCTTATCTAGCACAGGCTCACCTAGGTCTTAGCTTCAGTTATATTTCTGAGTTTTGAGAATGAACAAGCGTTTGGTACAATGTTATTTTATTCTCTTGCACTATGCCTTATATCTCTCCAAAGGAGAAATCAACTCTCCAGGTCCAAATGTTCAGAGCATATAACCACCCCGATAAGGTACAATTTGTCTTTAGGCAACATGCAGACATGTAGTTTAAGAACAGCTGTTTGTACCAAATACAATATTTCTTATCTCTTAATAACCAATGGCTGAAATAATACTTGGA